TGACAGGCCTGGAGTTCCTTTTGGCCCTTTTTGTGGATTGGTGTGACATTCCCCAACTTCCAATCATCTGGGGCCTCCCCAGTGAGCCAGGATTATTGGTAAATGATGGAGAGCGGCTTGGTGAGCTCTTCCACCAGCTCCCTCATCGCCCTTGGATGGATCCCTTTGGGTCCCATAGACTTGTGAGGATCCAGGTGGCTCAGCAGGTCACAAACTGTTTCCTCCTGAATTCCAGAGGGGCTGTTCAGCTTCTTATCCCTGTCTACAAGTTCCAGAAGCCAGCTGTCCTCAGGACAACCTGTCTTACTGTTGAAAACTGAGATAAAGAAGGTGTTAAAAACCTCAGCCTTGTCCTCCTCTTGGCTGACTCCGTTCCCCCCATGCCCAACAAGGAGTGGAGGTTTTCCTTGCCCCTCCTTTTGCTGTTGATGGCTTTGTGGAAGCACTTCTTATTATCCCTGACAGAAGTGGCAGGATTGAGTTTGAATTGTGCCTTTGTCTCTCTGATTTCCTTTCTACCTAGCTGTATTCCTGAACTCTTCCTGAGCATTCATGGAACGCGACTGCAAAGAGTCCTGAGGGGTGTGATTGTGATAAATCCCTCAAAGTGCAGCAAGTTCTGCAAGTTAGAGTGGCACAGAATCCTGGGAAGTGCAACTGATCCTGGAAAATGTAACTACAACAAGTACTGGGAGGTGAAACTCTGATAAATCCTTCAATATGGAGCAAATCCCGAGATTTAGAATGGCAAAAAGTCCTGACAAATACAATTACTCCCGGAAAAATGTAATTTCACCAAGCCCTGAGATATGAAATGAGGATAAATCCTTCAGTATGGGACAAATCCTGACATTTAGAGTGGAAACAGGTCCTGAAAAATTCAACCACTCCTGGAAAATGCAACTGCAACAAGTCCTGGGATATGAAACTGGGAGAAATCCTCCAATAAACGGAACAAATCCTGCAACAAGTCACACAAAATGCAACGAATCCTGGAACCTGCAGTGGCACCAAATCCCACAAAACGGGATTACAGCCAATCCTGCAAAAGGCAATTGCACCAAATCCCGCCAAAGGCGATTAGGGATCGGGGAAAATCCTGCCGGAGGCAACGAGCC